CTTTTCGGCTCGGCCCGTCTGGGCCGGCTCGCCCCCGGCTTTGTGTCTTTTTAGCAGCCCGCAAGAGAAAAGTTTGCGCCCAGCACCTTTGGGGGGGGACGTGGAGGAGACCAGTGGCTGGAAAAGCCCAGCCTGTTTTCAAGAAGGTGATCTTGTAATGGCTTCCTCCGGGCGAGTAGGCCAAGTCAAGCACAATGCAACAAAGTTGCTCGAGTTCAGTCGAACCCGTCCTTTCCCTGGTGCCGGGAAGTTAGGAACTCGGCATCGTGGACCCTCAGCCTGTGTCGGTAAACTTTGTTTGCGAGGTTGGGAGTAAACCAGACTCCCTTTTTCACAAAAGAAAAGGGGTCCACACGTTTTTTTTTTTTTCCCCTTTGAAGCCGGTGGAGTTGACAAAAAATGGAGTTGGGACCAAGTGGTACTTTTCAGCGGCTGTTTGTTCTTTTGGAATTCGTTGAGTTCACGTGAAATTCAATTAAGGCGACCCATCCTTACAGGCTTTTCTACTTTCCAGACGTGTTTGTGTGCTTAATAAAGGCACAGGATGGCTTGTGGATTTCTGGGTTTCTGGTTAAGACCATCGAACTGTTGGAGGGGAGGTTGCGAGGACAATACAACTCGTGTTGAGTTTTTAAAACTAATTTTATTTAACATTGAAAATGAGGGTTCCTCTTTTCCTCCACCACAATTTAAGAAAATGCTTGAGGGACCACATGCCACCAGATCTGGTTGAGGAATGAGTTATGTCAAACAATTGGTAGAATGTTTTCTAAGGGTAATAGGATTTTTTTTTTTTTTATGACTGCAGCAAAGACTTGAGAATGAATAACTGTTTTACAGATTTGTTTTTAGTAGTTAATGAAACTTTTTTGAGTGCTGATGGTTGCATTGGAAATTTTTTTATGTTATGAAGAATTAAAATGGTGCTTATGCTTTAGGCCGGTGAAAGTTGTGTTTAAACTGTTACTCTTGTGTTTTGTTTTTAAACTCAGAACACGGCCATGGCTACCCAGGTGATGGGGCAGTCTTCGGGAGGAGGAGGGTTGTTCCCCGGCAGTGGCAACATGGGCCTGGCTTTGCCCAACGACATGTATGACTTGCACGACCTTTCCAAAGCGGAGCTGGCGGCCCCTCAGCTGATCATGCTGGCAAACGTGGCCTTAACTGGGGAAGTAAATGGCAGCTGCTGTGATTACCTGGTCGGTGAAGAAAGACAGATGGCGGAATTGATGCCTGTTGGGGATAGCAACTTCTCAGATAGTGAGGGGGAAGGCCTTGAGGAGTCTGCCGAGATAAAAGGTGAGCCCAGTGGACTGGAAAACGTGGAACTGAGGGGCTTGGAACTCAGTGTGGTGGAACCTCAGCCTGTATTTGAGACATCAGCTGCCCCAGAAATTTACAGCTCCGGGAAAGAGCTCCCTCCCGAGACACCTGGGGCCGAGGACAAATGCAAGAACTCCAAGACCAAGCCCTTTCGCTGTAAGCCCTGCCAGTATGAAGCAGAATCTGAAGAGCAGTTTGTTCATCACATCCGAGTTCACAGTGCCAAGAAGTTTTTTGTGGAAGAGAGCGCGGAGAAGCAAGCCAAAGCCAGGGAATCTGGCTCTTCCACTGCAGAGGAGGGAGATTTCTCCAAGGGCCCCATTCGCTGTGACCGCTGTGGCTACAACACCAATCGATACGATCACTATACCGCACACCTGAAGCACCACACCAGAGCTGGGGACAACGAGCGCGTGTACAAGTGCATCATTTGCACGTACACAACAGTCAGCGAGTATCACTGGAGGAAGCACTTGAGGAACCATTTCCCAAGGAAAGTATACACGTGTGGAAAATGCAACTATTTTTCAGACCGAAAAAACAACTATGTCCAGCATGTTAGGACTCATACAGGTAAGAGAAGCCTTCTAGTCCGAAAATTTAATTCTCATGTCTGATTGTTTAATTGAGTGGTTAGTTAAATAGTGCTTGAGAAAAGAGACCCTGGGTTCAAATCCGGGGTCCATTATTTGTTACCTTTTTCACTTTGGACAAGTGACTTCACCTCCCTGCAGGATAACAACGTACGAGAAAGTGTTAAATGAAGTAACACATATGAGAGCACTGTTCTTTGAAAAGAACAGCGAGAGAGATCTTACCACCAGTGCCCTTCCTAAAGTACATGTCTTCTCAACTTGGGATCGGTCACTTCACCAAGTTAGACTGCTTTTAGGTTTATAGATGTAGTTATGTGACAGAGAACACCTCTAAGATGTGGTATAGTTTCTGAAAGGAATTGAGGACTTAGATAAAAAGGAAAACTCGATGATTAACTTGCAAAGCTCCTTTAACAAACCCTCAGACTTTAAAATTATTGACTTGTAGCATTGAATTCTTAGGGGGGATGGCTTGTCCCCAAAACATAGAAATGTGTGAGAAATTAGTTTTTTTTGTTTTGTTTTTTTTTTTGAGTCAGAGTCCCACTCTGTCGCCCAGACTGGAGTGCAGTGGCCGCTCCCGGCCACCCCAGCCTCGCCTGCTGGGCTCCGGCGATCCTTCTGCCTCAGCCTTCCAAGTAGCCGGAATTACAGGCATGCGCTACCACACCTGGTTGATTTTTTGATTTGTTGTAGAGATGAGGTCTCGCTGCCCAGGCGGGTCTCGAACCCCCGGGCTCAGGCAATCCACACACCTCAGCCTCCCAAAGGCCCGGGATTACAGCCTGAGCCACGTAGCCCAGCTGAGAAATCAGTTTTTAAAAGGTTGGTGGGATTACCACCAATTGAAACCGTTTTCCTAAGAAAACAAACGTGGAAAATGGAACTGTTTCAGACAATTATGTTCAGCATGCTTGCATCATCCAGGTAAGGGGACTTTTCTAATCCATAAGTGCAGCTCTATCAAAAAAGTTGGGACCTTGAAAATATGAGAACTTTTAAACATCTCAGAGAGAATGCCACAGTGTACAACATATATACTCATTACATACTCTGAATAGTTATCACCATTTTGTCGTGTTTGGCATGCTAGTTTTTTTTTAAGGTAACAGCATTATTGAGATATACTTCATTGACATACAGTTCATCCGTTTAAAGTGTACAGTTCAGTGGTTTTAGTATATTCTCAAAGTTGCGCAACCATCACCACAATCAATTTTAGGGCATTCTTATCACCCCCAAAAGAAACCCATTTCCTTTAGCAGTCGCTCCCCATTTCTCCCAGCAGTCCTTAATTATTCACTTTTAAATATTTGTAATTAAGGGGCCTCTTTTTTTTCTTTCCTTTTTTTTTTTTTTTTTTTGAGTTGGAGTCTTACTCTGTCGCCCAGGCTAGAGTGCAGTGGCACTGGGCTCAAGTGATCCTTCGCCCCAACCTTCCAAGAAACTGGAACTACAGGCATGCGCCACCATGCCCAGCTAATTTTTTTGATTTTATTGTAGCGATGAAATCTCGCCAAGTTGCTCAGACTGCTTTCAAACCTGTGGACTCAGGCAGTCCTCTCCCCTCGGCCTTCCAAAGTGCTGGGATTATAGGCCTGAGCCACCACGCCCAGCCTGGGGCCTCATTTTTCAAAGAAATGTTTATGGCTGTTGGTAGTCACTTTGCACATTTCCATTGCATTTTTCTGGTGAGAATTGACACCGGGGTGGTATGGTGAATGGATAGAGGGTACACTAGCACTGTCCTCCCTGGATCACTGTGGGATGCTGTTTGCATCAGCCCCCGTTTTGCAGAAGCTGGCCCTCCATGGAACTGAACCCACAGGTAAAGAGGTCTCTGTGGAGGGAAAGTGACACTGCCTTGCTTAAGTGGCAGACGTGCACAGTGAGAGTTGATGAAAGGAGTGACCTACCACAGGTTTTCTCAGTGCCAGCAGGTGGCTCCTGTGTTGAAGGCTTTGACACTTAGTCCAGCGAGAGAGTTTACAGGCCCTTTGGCATCTGCTGTCACCTGTGACGGCTTGTCTCCAGGCTTTGAAACCATTTGATTTCAAAAGTGAAGTTGAAACAGCACAAAAATACATCGCATAGGAAATGAAAGTCACTTGGGGATCCTACTCCACTTGAACAGTTTGAATTAGACTGTTGGAATAAATTAACCTCACCTAATCCCAGATAGCTGATATCTGAGATAGTTAATACATTTCTTTTCTTTTTTTTCTTTTTTGAGTTGGAGTCTCACACTGTCACCCAGACTGGAGTGCAGTGGCTGCTCCCGGCCACCACAGCCTCGACCTACTGGGCTCTGGTGATCCTTCTGCCTCAGCCTTCCAAGTAGCTGGAACTACAGGCGCACGCTATCACACCCGGCTAATTTTTGATTTGTTGTAGAGATGAGGTCTCGCCAAGTTGCCCAGGTGGGTCTCGAACCTGTGGGCTCCGGCAATCCAATCACCTTGGCCTCCCAGAGCGCTGGGATTATAGGCTGAGCCACCAAACCTGGCTCTTTTTTAAAATCTTATTTTATTTATTTATTATTTTTTGAGTCGGAGTCTCACTCTGTTGCCCATGCTGGAGTATGGAGTGCAGTGGCTCATTCAAGGCCACCACAGCCTTGACCTGCTGGGCTCAGGTGATCCTTCTGCCTCAGCCTTCCAAGTCGCTGGAACTACAGGCATGTGCCACCACGCCCAGCTAAATGTTTTTTATTTATTGTAGAGACAAGTCTCTCCATGTTGCCCAGGCTGGTCTCAAACTTGTGGACTTAGGCAGTCCTCTCGCCTCAGCCCCCCAAAGTGCTGGGATTACTGCCGTGAGCCACTATGCCTGGCGAGATAGTTAATATCTTAAATATTAAGTAACTGTATTTTATCTTCAATCTCAGATATCATATATTTATTTGCCCATAAATATGCACTTCATATTCATTGAACAGTTTTTCTAAAACCTTAAGACCCAATTTAGAATTGCCAATAATGGAGTGCATTCAGGTGGTAACTGACATGGTAAAGTGCATAATTTTCAAGCCAGCCAAGGATTGAAAGCAGTGTGGCTGCACCTCTGCTGAGCATGTGCAGACTTTCCTTGACATTATTCCTTCAACTACACAGAGTAACAAACCATCTACACAGCATTTACATTGTATTAAGTGTCCTAAGTAATCCTGAGATGTTAAGTATAAGGGAGGATGTGCATAGGTTATGTGTTTTTTTTTTTTTGAGTTGGAGTCCCACTCTGTCGCCCAGACTGGAGTGCAGTGGCCGCTCCTGGCCGCCGCAGCCTCGACCTGCTGGGCTCCTGCGATCCTTCCACCTTAGCCTTCCAAGTAGCTGGAATTACAGGCATGCGCTACCAGGCCCGGCTGATTGTTTTTTTTTTGATGGATTGTAGAGATGAGGTCTTGCTGCCCAGGCGGGTCTGGAACCCGCGGGCTCAGGCAATCCACTCACCTCAGCCTCCCAAAGGCACGGGATTTCAGGCTGAGCCACCGAGCCCGGGCTATCTTGTTCATTTGTATTGTTGTTGCAGTTGTTTTGTGTTAGGGTCTCACTGCATCGCTCAAGCTAGATTCTGCTGGCATGCTCATGGCTCACTGTAGCCTGTGCTTCCTGAACTTAGGTGAGCCTTCTGTCTCAGCTACAGGTGTGCTACTATGCCTGACTAATTTTCTTTTCTTTTTTTAGTTTTTGGTCTTGCTATGTTGCCTAGGCTGGTCTCGAACTATTTTGCTGTAGCAGTTCCTGCCGGGCGTGAGCCACGGTTCCCAACCTCATTTCCTAATACTTAGTAATATGTAGCATCACTGTGAAAACTCTAAGGGCTATAAAAATTCAGGAAGTGATTTTTTTTTTGTCAGTAAAACCAAAATAGTTAAATACATTCTGAAAGAAATTGTTTATGTTTTTAAGTCACGATCAATTTGACTTTTTTCCCTAGGAACAAGAAAAACATTCTTGTTTAAAAATGCTCAGTACGGATGCTGTTATATTGTATGAGCTCATTTTGTTAACATCACACATTATTCATTATTATAATTTTGCAGGAGAGCGCCCGTATAAATGTGAACTGTGTCCTTATTCCAGTTCTCAGAAGACTCATCTGACGAGACATATGCGTACTCATTCAGGTTGGTAAGAAATGGGAGCTTTTCTACCATTTTCAGTGAACGATCAATTTAAGGATGTTCTTTTAGACTTGTAGCAGTCACTTATTTATGATTTCAGTTGTAGTATAAATTAGAAATTAGAATTTAAAAGTCAGCGTTCTGTCAAAGTGGAAATGAATTTAAATGGAGATTCCAGACATGGAATCCAGATGTGGAATTCCTGAAACTGAGTGTAAATTGTGTGTATGCTTTTGTCTGGAAGGAGGGTCCTTCGTTTTCATCAGAGTGTTAAAGAGTTCATGTCTCCCATTGAAGTTAACCTAATGTCCACCAAGGCTGGCTCATCCTTTCTGCAGAATCCCTGCCCTCTCCTGTTCCCCCAAGAGCATAACTCTGATTTCATGGTGTGTGGTTGACATGGGATTCCTCCTTAGCTTTTCAGGTCCTGAAGTTCGGGTTTATTCTCTCTTCAGAATTGATAGGGCTTTGGAGGACTGATTTACAAAAAGCTTAACTTGAAAAAGAGGATAACAACATATTAGCCTATAATAAAAGTCCAGGACTGCAATAAGTGAGATTTTCTCCACTCTAGTAAGTGAAACAATCATGACTCCGATTCGGGACTGATTCCCATTATTGAGGTTATGTAAGTGGCCAAGTTAAAAATGTTAGCATAGGTGATCTAGAATGGGTGCTTCCTTCATTTTGGCCTTGAATGATCTTTGGTGAAGTCCTGCTTCTGATTAGAATGCTTGCCTTCCTGATTTAGAATGCTCCTGCAGGAAAGTAGGTTAGATCTTGCTGTTTACAGAGCCTACATAGGATCCTTTCCCCTAAGTTTTCTATCAGAACTGTGCTGTCTGGTTGGGCAGCCCTCAGGACACGTCTGTGGAGCTGGTGATGTCTGACCATGTGAAGCAGTATGAAGAAGAGAATGTAAGATACTCATTCTTCCTGTTGCTCGCTTGGTGAAATCAAGGAGCATAGTTGGGCTAATAAGCTAGTTAGAAAATTAATTTTACTGCCGGGCTCGGTGGCTCAGCCTGTAATCCCGTGCTTTGGGAGGCCGAGGTGAGTGGATTGCCTGAGCCTGCGGGTTCAAGACCCATCTGGGCAACTTGGCGAGACCTCATCTCTACAATAAAATTAAAAAAAAATTAGCCGGGCGTGGTAGCGCGCGCCTGTAGTTCCAGCAACTTGGAAGGCTGAGGCGGAAGGATTGCCGGAGCCCAGCAGGTCGAGGCTGTGGTGGCCGGGAGCGGCCACTGCACTCCAGTCTGGGCGACAGAGTGAGACTCCCACTCAAAACAAAACAAAACAAAACAAAAAAAACAAAAAAAAGAAAATTAATTTTACCTGTTTTATTTTTTGCCTTTTGTAGTGTGTCTACTATACTTAAAATTACATCTGTGGTTTGCCCTGTATTTCTGTTGGACATTGTTGCCCTGAGTTAGTAAAAAGAGGGAAACTTGGTTTGGTTACAGACTCTGATTTGTTTGAGCAGCCGTGAAGAAGGTGTGCCATGGTGTGCTTGCCAGCCTCTCTCGTCCTGTATGCCTGTCCTGTTCACCTACTGAGTGTTCCCTTGGAAGCTCCTAAGCTGCTGAGTAGTGCCCCTTGTCCAGAACCCGGTTCTTGTTATTTTGGGGTGCTTTTCCATTTCGTTCTCTGAGGGCGACTTGGATACAATCTTAGGCTTTGTTGAGGGTGGACATTGTGTCCTCTTGATAGATAACAGTTGATAATTGTAGCCCTTTCATAAAACACTCAAGAGCTTCACAAGAGTTAACTCATTTTAGTTATCACTGTTTTGTGTTGTACACGTTCTATTGTCCCCAGTTTACAGGTGAGGAATCTAAGGCATAGGAGACGTGGCCCCTTTTCCAGGAGAATGGCTTCACTTCTGTACATGTTTTTCATGGTGTTGTTTAGCTTCCTTTTTTTTTTTTTTTTTTTTGAGTTGGAGTCTCACTCTGTCGCCCAGACTGGAGTGCAGTGGCCGCTCCCGGCCACTGCACCCT